TATAAAATATGTATATATACATGATAAATATATGTATATATATAAGTTCTTACTTGTGTGCACGTCGATGCTGAGAATGGTCAGATTCTGCATGGAATGCACAGACGCCGCAGTCTTTCGCCTCAGCCCTCCCGTTGCATTCGTACTCGCACTCCCGACACTACTACCACTGCTCCCGGCAGCCCCACTACCAACTGAGCCTGTGCCATTACTGTGCGCTATGTCATTGCTAAGCTGTATATCCCTAGTATCAGCTGTATGCGTGTCGATATACTGTTGAGCACCTTCGGTGCCTCCTGTGGCTGTGGCATGGCGTTGCTGTGAGCCCGTTTTGGCATCAACTACACCCACTGCACTACTACCACTGCTAGCATCAGGCCTAGCATCTCCTGTAACTGCGCCATTACTATGATGTACATCCTTAGCACCAATTGTAACCGTGCTGTTCATCTGATGTATACCTTTGCCAACACCTGCGTCCTTGTTATCGCTTTGCTGTATACCGCCAACACCGACCCTAAACGTACCACCTTGGTGTAAATCCTGGACACCGGGTATGTTCGTGTGTGCACCCAGTTGTATGTACTTCACACCAAGTTCGTCTGTGCTGTTGCTGTGGGTGTCACCCTCAGCATCAGCTGTACCCGTAACCCTATCTCGCCGGATACTCCCTAACTTGGCTGTATTCGTGTCCCCGATTTCTCTCACTGTTGGGATGTCGTTCAATCTCACACGCCCTGCCGTAGCCCTCTGTGGCCGTTTCACATCCTCGGACCTCTGAAGTGCATGCGTGTCTATGTGACCATGACCCCCGCCCTCGTGATCGCAGAGTTCTAACGTTCCGTTTGACGTCTTGTGGCATTTGTCGCCCGCTTTCGTATAGGACACGCCCCCGCTCTCGATACTGGCTGCTGGGTTCGATATAGTATCAGATACAGGTCTATTCGACTTGCTCTGCGACTCGATGTTTTGCATGCTTTTTTTCGGTTTGTTTGTGGTGTGTGTAGGCAGCTTTGACATGGAGTGTACATCTGGTGCTGTAATTGGCACCCGTTTATATCGCCTTTTTGGCATTCTGCAGTTTCTGTTTAGAGGAAGGGGGAAAAGATAATATTCGATCATAAAGGAATAAAGTAGTAGTTCGGACAGAATAGCTAGTCATCAATCCGAATAGAATAAGTCATCGATCCGATCCAAATGAAGTTGCAGTTCTGAAAGTACTGATGCCATGGCATTCAGCAACCTATTTTAATTCCAACAACTGGATTTTTGCACCAATCCTAGATGCGTCTGCGTATCCAGCATATGTCTATGACATTGGGGATGTAATCTCGCGCCCATCACTGACTTTGATTAACGTGTAGAGTAAACTATCAATCTAGAGCGATCTATGAATCTGTAGGGATTTGTCTGCAAATACGAGATGTTCAAAATAAACACAATGGGCTCTGAAAAAGGGCAAACCCGATTTGTGCCCTCTAAGAGAAAAGGGATTCATCTAGAAACATCCTTTGGTAGGTAATTATGATATGCAAATTGATCACAATTGCCAAACACTAATTATATATAAATAGGAAAACACTGTCCCGAGTCTTC